ACAATATGGAAGCATCAAAGAAGAAAGACAGCATGTCAAACTGGGTTACTAGGCAGTGACTATATCTAAAATGATTTGCCTGCAGTTTAAACCGAATTACTACAATAAATCATCTAGAAACTGTTTTAATACTAAAGTTCTATTTCCTGATGCAGATAGAAACCATGTATTTTTCATTCTCCCCAGAAAATCAACATCTGCAAAAGATTGTTACTTGTTTATTTATAAATGTATTCCTTTTATGAAGGACATACCGATATTTACAGTATTTCATCTACATTATGGAGTCATCAACAGTTTAGAATTTTTACAGGAGATGATTTTCTCTGGGATTGTAATTTCCCTCTGAATTTGGGCTGCTTTGCATAAGTCCCTAAGGTATTTGGCACTCAGCCTGAGAGATCTTAAGTCTGAATATGCTTCTGCTTTATTCACTTTTTTTTTGAGACAGGTCTCGCTATGTAGTTCAGGCTGGCCTCTAATAACTAACAGTCATCCTCCTGCCTCAGCCTCCTGAGTGTTGGGATTATAGGTGTGTACCACCAAGCCCAATCCTTACTGCTTTATTATTGCCTTCAGACTTGAGTATCTGACTGTTCCTACAGGACCAAATAATCACTTTCATTGTTCAAAGAATGTTACTAGATTGGATTTATTTACAAAAGTGTGTGGGAAATAATATTTGGTTATTGTTTTAATGATCCATTAACAAAAAATGCCACTGTCTGAATGGCACCTTTTGTGATAGTTTGCTCTTCTCCTTGCTTCTCCGTGTTCTGCGGGCACCTCGGTTGGAAAGTGACTAGTGCTCTAGGAGAGGTGATTGTGGTTGCCAGCCTAGTAGAAATTCTTCTGTGGGGCTTTCATCAGTAATTGGTGCCGTGCAATTATGAGGAATTGGATAATAGTCATAGAATTTTTGAAATGAAGAGTTGAAATGCAATGGTCCTTCCTGTTTACTGATGTGGAAACCAAATTAGGTAATTTGCTCAGATTCATACTCTCTGTTCCTTCTGATATAAAGAACCTTATTATTTTGTTATGGATGAGCGAGTTGGAACAATGGAGATGCGCCACACTCTGTGCCAGATTTGAGCCCGTTTATTATAGCCAGAGGCTGAGGAGGGCTACTGCCCAGAAAGTTCTGTTGGCAACAGGAAGCGGTTTGATTTCTCCTTTTAAATCATGCTTTCAGTTGGGGAGGGCTCAGGGGAGAGCAAGTGGAATTTTACAGAAGCAGAGCCATGCCAGGTTAGTGGGGGGCACAAGGAAGTTTCACACACACTAGGTGAGGTACAAAACATCCTGCAACTGCGGCAAGTTTTCTGCCAAGCAGGGTGTGGGTTTGGAGTGCTTTGTCTAAGCACAAGCACGTTGTCCAAGCACAGGTACAAACTGGCATTGAAGCTCAAAATGGAGTCAGGTTGGCTATCACAATTTTTACCTTAGGGCTTCCTTTAAGAGCCTTGCTTTAAGAATTGTTTTATGCTTTTTGGTTAAAGATGCTTTCACCTATTATTATAGCTAGTCATATAGTAGAGCTCTTTGTTAAAGCCCCTTCAATCAGCAAAACCTTATTTTTTGCCTTTTATGTCTTTGCCATGCTTTAGTGGGCTGGGGTAGAGGTAACCTGGTGTACTGTCATTTATAAGTTCTAGTGAAAAGTTATTTTCACAAACCTGATAGATATGATTTTGCTTTAAGTAATTTAGCTTTTATTTTTTATAATTTAAAAAAATTGATAGTAGGTAAATGTTTAGTTATTAGGAAACAGTATGATATGACTGATATTAATTATTATATATCAGTGCCATAATATCAGAGAGACTGATATTACATATATAAAACCAGAAATTATATTTCATTTGATTATTTAATTTAAAAATAATGAAAACTTATTCTTAAATGAGATATAGATTAGCTGTTATTACAGCATTTTTTTTGTGTGCATCTCATGAGAATATTATGTATTATGTATCAGGTATTTTTCTGTGACATTCTTTCTCCATGCACTCTTTCACTGGTGCCAACTCTGTCCACTGTGAGGAGCCATCCTTTTGCCAGAGCTGGCCCGTATGTTTCTCCCTTTAGCTAGAGAAACCTCTTTTTTTGCCTTTACTGGAGGTGAGTAAAAATGAGTGTATCATCACTAGCTCTTGTGGATCAACAGGTACTGGACCTTTGTAAATAAAGGGAAGCATTTAATTTTCATTTTTAAAGTAGCCACCTAAGTCTTCCATGTAAAAATCAACCTGTCAGTGAATTCAGCACAGTCTGATGTGTTATTAGGTAGACTGTAATTTAAATTTGATATTCATTATTTTATGGACAGGAGCTTTGGCAAATGACTTTCATGTTTTATTTGCAGAAATCTAGGCATTGGGCTGACATTGATTACAAAGTTTTATAATCTCTATTTGAATTTTGATTATCCCTGTGTGAAACTCAAGGTCTTATTATTTCTGATAATATTTTAAAGATCAGTCTGTCTAAAAGTACCTTTAAAAGAAAAGATATTTTCACTATTTATTTTCTTTTAAATACAATATATTATGAAGTTGTTAATATAAGGGGAGAAATTTTTTTGAAGCCTTCTGTATCCCATACATGGGTTTACCCATTAAATTATTCTAATGCAGTAAGTTATTCTTGCGTTACTCCCTTAAGGAAATGATAAAACCTTTGGGAGAAAAGAATTCTCTTTCTTTTTCTAGAATTTACTACCCAAGTATAATTTGAAGAGAGTTCTTTTTATCATCTTACCGTGTATAATTATTTCATATACAAATAAAGGGTGTGTGTGTGTGTGTGTGTGTGTGTGTGATTGGGCATTAACCCAGACCCTCATGCATTCTAGGGAAAGTGCTTTACCACTGAGCTACATCCCCAATCTTCATATTCAAATAAAATGATTTTTAATACTTAAAAGTGTTGCTTGAATTTTCTACTTTTTTATATAGCCTCTCAGGTAGTTTTTTCAGTTGTTTTCCTAGTACTTACACTAGAACCATATTCCCACTAGTATTTTAAGATTATTGACTCAGAGGAAGAGCCTAAATTCACAGTAGAGGTGCCTGTGCCTTGTGAAGCTTTCATTGCCAGGTGGGTGAGATTAACACTTTCATGTCATCTTTCTGTGAGCACTTGTGGTAACAGGAGGCTACTTCTGCAACCACACACTGTAGGGGAAGAAAGTTTTTCTTTAAGAAAAAAAGCATATGCTTTTCAATATGTGTAATACACTTTTTAGAAATTAATTACAGAAATTAATATGCCATACTGCTCACTGTTTCTTTTTTTATAACCTGGCTATATTTTTTATCAGTTTTTTTTTTATTTCAGAAGACTTCTGAAGCACCAAAAATAGATTTTTAAAAAGCAAACAAAAACAAACATACAGAACAAATAAAAAACCCACCTACATTGAGGAAGATGGACTGCTGAAGAAGGGTCCCTGTGTACTCCTTGTGTACTTCAAGGTTGTCTTTCCATAGGCCTTCTGGCTCAGTTATGGTTTCAAATGTTAGAATGTAGGACTGGAGTTACAAGTTGGACTAAGGAATGTCAGACTCACATTCCTAATGGGGTGATTATTTACACTACATTGAAGGTTTATTTTCTTAATAATCCATTTATTAAATATGTACCTGCTTTTAAAGTGTTAATTTTTAATCATTGGTAATAATTTTTTGTAGCTCTCTTTTGAGGAAGGTTCGTGTTTTTTCCATTTTATACATGATAAAATTAATGTATATATAGTGATTTACTCAGCTTTATGAGCAAGTTAATGTGATGATGAAAAAGAAATTGGAATCATCTATTCAGTTAGGAGATTGTCCTAAGATTGTTTTAAATGATTAATATGCATATATTCATAGAATAATCAGAACTATTAGTATTGTAAATGTTAGAGGGGAAAATTAATAAAGTGGGAGTAGGCAAGTAAGAGGTAAAAGTTGAATTTCAGAAACTGCAGTTTAGAAGGTTACTGTATCATGTGGTCAAGCAAGTTTGTATTTACTACTTCAGAGACATACCCTAGAAATTGGTGACAAAGGAAATAAAGGTGTTATTTGTGGCCTGCTTTTTTCTCATACCATAAGTAAAATTGAGCATCACTACTGATGGAAGACAAATGGAAATGTTTCACTTGACAATAGGATCTCTCGTTCCTTTGTCAGCTACTCATTTACAGTTGAAATGTAGTCATTATTTGAAAATTGACCAGTGCTTCTTTTAGAAACTCTCACACATGCTTTCCCATTGTTGTTCTTACCACCTAGTTCTCATTTTTGTTTTTTTCTCTTGTTTTCTACCCTCTTACATACTCCATTCACTTAGGATTTTGAAATGATCTGAAGATTTGAAATTTTAAGGAAAAGTATTAGTTTTTCAGTTGTGATATATGATTTTCAGGAATACACATCCTGAAGCGAATAACAATCTGGATTGACTTTTCTTAGTGGCAGTTCTGCCATTATTTCCTTCTTATTGTCCCCTCTCCCCCATTAACATCATCATCATGATTATCATATTGTTGTCGTCGTTGTTGTCGTCGTCGTCATCATCATCATCATCATGTGAAACTTTGGGAAACTTATTAAGTACTTAAGTGCAATTCGCTTGTAAAAGGTGTGTCCCATATTTAATCTCTTCTCTATTTTCCTTATTTGAAAATTTCTCATAACTATAGTATTATCTGAAATATGCTAGTTCTTTATAGCTATGGCTTTTTTTTTGTATGTTGTTTAAATACTTGGTTTTTCTGGAATTTCCTTTGAATTTCTTGTTTTCTCTCATCTTCATGAATTGTTTTCTTATTTTTCCTAAATTTCAGACATTTTCTCAGGTCTCAGGAAAGTAAAATGCTATAGAGTTTATATATATTTGGTTGTATGTTGACCTTGAAGTCAGGAAGTTTATATTTGACTTAGTTGAAAAACATGATGCGATAAATACCTAAATACTATTACTGAAGGCTTGTTTCTTAATCCCTCCAGGAAAGAAAGGAGAGACTATCCAAATTTGAGTCTATTCGTCATTCAATTGCTGGAATAATTAGGTCTCCAAAATCTGCACTGGGCTCTCCATCAGTAAGTAGGATTAACTGTGTGATGGTGAAATGGTCATTGTCTAGTTTCTGTCCGAGATAGATTTTTGTCTGAAATATAAATATATATTTCAACAAATAGGAAAATAAAACTTTTAACTTTTCGTTTTTTAAACTTTTAACTTTTTGTATGTATATGCATGTGTTCATACATATACATAGTAAAATCGTATGTAACAGTGATATAAGGAGGACAGAAATAAGGTAGTGCAGTAGACCCTCCTTATCTGCAAGGCATACATTCTGAGAGCCTTACCTGAGTCTGTGGGTAGTGTTAAACCTTACATATACTATATTTTTTACTGTACATACTTAATTATCATAAAGTTAATGTATAAATTAGCTACAGTAAGCAATTATAATAAAATAAAACTATTATAACAATATATTGTAGTAAATGCTATGTGAATGATGCTCTGTTTCTCTTTCAAAATATTGTACTCACTTTCTTCTTATGATGATGTGAGATAATATAATGCTGTGGCTGGCTGCAGATAATTGAAACTGCAGAAAATGAAACCATAGATAAGGGTAACTACTGTGTTATAGACCTCTTATATATAAATAATCATCGAAACTTTGGAGCCTTATTAGAAGAATAGTATAAAGAAATTTCTTCTCCAGTGAAATGTAACATTTTTGTAATGGGGGTTACTACACATTTGTTTTAAAATATGTCAGTATTTTATGTGTTCATATTTTAAAGAACATTTTGATTATAAAATTAAAGTTTGTTTGATAGATTAATCATTGAAATTTGAGTTTGCCGTGTCACAGTGGTACAGAGAATATTAGTTAATTCTGGTAGCAGAAATTTGGCCAAACAGAATGTGTTGTGAACAAGAGCATGGAGTATTTTTCAAAGGCATTGGATATCCTATATTTTTGGAAAAGGAGTTTTTTCTGTCAAATACACAGTTAATTGAGTTCTTGAGTCATAATTTGAGTGAACATTCAAGCATGATAATCCATATTGCATAATAATTTAAAGACTGCTTCATTATAACTTTAAAAGTTTTTCTGATATAATATTTTCAGTCTGTGCTAATTTGGTAAAGGTAAAATAGAAAAAATATTCTGATTATCTTAAATCTTTTTTTCCTACTAAAAAGGCCTTAAAAACTTGCCAAATTAGCATAATTAGGTTGTTTAAATTATTTTATTGTTATACACTTTATGTAACATAAAATTCACATTATAAAATTATTTTATTGTAATGTACTTCATATAACATAAAATCCATCTTTTAAAGTGTGTACCTAGTGGTGTTTTTGTTTCTTTTCTCTCTGGTACCAGGGTTCAAACTCAGGGCCTTGTGCTTGCAAGGCAGGCGTGGAGCCACTCAGCTAAATCCCTTGCCCTTATCTAGTGGTTTTTTGCATTTTTACTATCTTGTGTAACCCTCAATACTATCTAATGCCAAATAGTCTCAGTCCTCTTGGAAAGATATGCCAAACCTATTAAGAATTAATCTCAATCCCCACACCCCCTCATTCCATTTCTGACAGTTGTTATCTACTTTCAATCCCTATGGATTGAAGTATTCTGGACATTTCACTGATATAGGATCATAAAACATGTGGCCTTTTCTATCTAGTTTCTTGTATTTATCATGCTGTTTTCTAGGTTCATCTATTTTGTACAGTATGACAATACTTTATTCCTTTTTATAACTGAATAATATTCTTTCATATGGATTTACCACATAAATCCATTCATCAGCTGATAGAAATTTGTATTATTTCCACTTTTTGGCTATTACAAATAATGCTTCTATAAACATTCATATACAAGTATTTAAATGAACATATGTTTTCAGTTCTTTTGGGAATATACTTAGTGGAATTACAGGGTCATATGGTAATACTATATTTAAGTTTTTGAGGAACTGACAAACTGTTTTCCACTGTGTCTACCATTTTACATCCCAACTAGCAGTGTATGAATACTCCAACTTCTCCACAACCAACACTTTTTATTTTCCATTTAAAAAAAACTATGGATAATCTAGGGGATGTGAAATAACATGTTGTTTTATTTGCATTTTTCTGACGATTAGTGATGTTGAGTGTATTTTTCACGAGTTTATTAGCCACTTATATATGTTCTTTGTGGATTTGTCTATTCATATTATTTACATGTTTAAAATTTTTTAATGTTTTTTATTGTGCTGAGATTAAACCCCAGGGCCTTGTACATGCTAGGCAAGCATTGTATCACTGAGCTGTATGTGCAGCCTTGAATTGTTTTATCAATTGTTGAGTTATACCAGTGTCTTAGTTACCTTCTCTTTGCTGAGACACAATACTCAGTACCCACAACTATAAGGAGGAAAGGTTTATTTTGGCACACAGTTTGTAGAGGTTTAAGTCCATAGTTGGCTGGCTCCACAGCATGGCAGAGGAACATGGCAAAGGAGAAAGAGCTCATGGTGTGGCACAGGAAGCAGAGAAAGACCAAGGGAGGAGAGTGGGAGATAATACCCTTCCAGGCCATCCCCCCCAGTGACTAACCTCCTCCCAACATCCCATTTAGCTATAAACTCATCAGTGGATTAATCCACTTGTAAGTATCACACCCCAATGATCCATTCACCTCCCAAACCAATCTATGAGTGCATGAGGCTTTGGAGGGGTACATCCAGAAATAACGTATAACAAGGAGTTTTCTTAAAATGAATTCTGGAAATAAGCCCACTATCATATATATAGCTCACTAATGCTTTTTATCATTCTACAGATAGTCCTTTTACTGTCTTGATAGTATCCTTGGCATAAAAGTTTTAAATTTTGATGAAGAATAATTTAAAAAATTTGATTGTGTGTGCTTTTGGCATCATATCTGAAAAACCTATTATCCAATTCAAAGTTATTCAGATCACTTTTTCCCTCCTGAGAGTTTTATAATTTTGGCTCTTATATTACATTTTTGAGACATCATGAATTATTTTTGTACTTGGAGTGAGGTAGAGGTCCATATTCATTCTTTTGCATATGAAGGATATTTACTTAAAATATTAAAAAGCAACTATAAACCACTGTTTATTCAAGTGAACATATAAAAATTGAAACTTTATAACATAATCTTAGATATAAATACATTATAAACAGGAAAATAAAATTAGAATTAATCATAATAGTATTCTTACTTGCTATATCTGTGTTTTTAACAGTGTGGTTAAAATGTGGAGTGTCTGGTGAGACACTTAGACCTGGATAAAAAGAACAACATAGGAAAAGAAGCTGATAAATAAATTTGGCTTTAACTGTATATTGTGTTTGATAGATCAGGTGTTTAATATTTACTCATATTATTAGGATAGTATTTTTATTGTTATATCAGCTTTAAGCAGGTGCCTCTTTTTTGTTGTTGTTATACTAACAGAGCTAAATAACCTATCATTACCATCTCTGAGCACTGAGATAAGCTCCACATCTAGCATCTTCCCATCTGGAGAAGGTTGTAATTTTACATTGAGAACTCTTTCTTAGAGACTGCTTTTGAAGGCAAGACTAGAGATGTTGGACAGTATTAATTGGACCCTTTGAAAACCTACTGGCAATTATGGGGAGCCATTTGAGTTGGAAGTCTTTGAGTCATATTATATTTAATGAAATCTGTTCTAGTGATGTCAAGAATGCTGCCCTTTCTTCAGGGCCATCTCTGTACTCCAGAATTTATACCATAAGTGGCTGAGCAAGCCCCTATTTCCACAGCTGCTTGTGAATATTGGTTGTATCATTCATATGTGGAATATATAATGCTCTTCTAATAGAAGCACTTTTTGAAAATGTTCTTTAAAACCAAAAAGCATATCCAAATGATTTGTTATTTGTTCTTTAAACATCCACCCCAAAACCCTTATTATTCAACTCTGACTCCTTAAATTCATTTTTTTGTATTGACAGATATTAATTTTGAAATTATAGTATTTTGAACTAGAATTTAGAAAATTAAAATATTGCAAATATTTGCTTCTTTTTATATATAGTAATATCAATGATATAATTTGTTTACTGGGTTTTGAGAAAATTGTTCTTCAGCTATGTTTAAGTTGTATATCAGTTTTAATGTCAGTATTATAATAACAACATTCCCCATCAGCATAGGGCAATGTACTTATTTTCATATGTAACAAACTACTTGTATTTTTCAGTGTTCACCTTTGAGTCTAGCAGAGTAACCTGGAATTTCCTTTAACAAAACATGCTTAGTTCAAGTTAAATATTATATATTTTAAACTTTAGTTCTATTGAAATAAGGTATTAGTATACATTTTCCCCTAGTAACTAAAATTTAGAAAGAAAGAAGAAAAAATAGGGTTTTTTTGCATTATATCACAGCTATACACTAAATTCTTCTATATAGTTAATTATGTTTAAGAAAGTTAAATATTATTCTCTGAATTGCATGATTTGAGTCACTTGCATTACAGTACATAATTTCCAAGAAGGGGATAGTGGAGTTGAGTTTCTATAATTTTTACTGTGAAAGACCAATTCTATTTATTCAAATGCTTAACACAAGTACACAGATCATATTAGTCTGATACTGTGTTCTGCAGGGCAATCCCAAACTGATGTAAATGTTTAAATTTATTGAAACATGATTGAATACTGATTCATTGTGATGATCTGGTAATAGTTTCAATTGGAATGTGTGATATGATAGTAACTCTGACTATAGTTATTGTGAGAGGAAACCAGAAGGTATTAAAGGAAGCAGAATTGTTAGACCAGAAATGAAAGTTTATATGTTGTAAAGATAGTATCTCTTATGCGAGAAGGTACACAAAAGGGCAATCTAGAAAATGAGAAGTTGTAGACATAGGTAATATTTGAGTGTCTTATTTCTCTATCTTTGTTTAATAAAATCAGAGAAAGATTTGTATGTGAATGCTAATTTGTGATTGGCATCTTCATTTTTTATAGTCACCATTTTAGAGAACAGCTTTATCATTTGCCAATAAGTAAACAAACTGAA